TAATTCAGTAAATAGTAAGAAGAAAAAAAGCACTGTTCCTCAACAATAGAAACAAGAGCTGTAGACAATCATCGAATCTCAGAATGTGAGTGTGTGCATTACATGTTTGGAGCTCTGCTGGTTACCACAGATCCGGGAAAACACATGGTATTTGTTTTTTCAAGATTTGCTTATTTCACTAAGTGTAGTGGTTTCCAGTTGCATGCGTTTTGTAGCAAAAGACAGAATTCATTCTTTTGTATGGCTGATTAGTATTCTATACTATACGTATACCACAATTTCTTTATCTGGTCATCAGTTAGTTGGTGGACACCTGGGTTGACTCCATATCTTAGCTATTGTGAAGTGAGCTGTACTAAACATGGGAGTACAGATAACTCTTTCATATACTGGTTTCATTTCTTTTGTGTAAATTCCCAAAGTAGCACTTTTCAATACAGGTGTTGAACTGGATACTATAGAGTAATTACTACCTTTGATCATTCATTGAGACTGTTAAAATACTAGCAATCTGATTAAGTTGCCTGACTTTTTTTGAGTGAAATATATTCTGTTAGCATTTTATAATAATAATAAATATGAATAAATGAAGTACTTGAGAAGCAAGAAAAATGCAGAAGTTTTGAAATAAAACTGATCATTGTATGAAATAGAAAAACATTTACATAATAAAAATATGGGCAGATGATGTTATCCATTTGTCTAATTACTCTTTAGAGTAAAAACTTTTAGGACTATGAAGAAAAATCACAGGGAAGATAAAGAATAATATAGCATTACTGTAAGTCAGCAAAGTCTGACTTTCGATTATTGAATTTAGCTTAAGGTCAGGACCTCTATGTTGTCCACTTTCCTATTTAAATGAGTATTTTTCTATATTCATTTCGGCATAGCCGTCTGGAGTTTTATAATTTTCCCTTTCCACCATTTCTCCAAAATGACAGTATCACTTGTGATTTTAATTCTAGATTTTCATTTGTCCAAAACGTAACTCTCAGATGATGCCTTTTGTTCATCTTCCTGTACTACAGAATCTTTTATTTTAAAGCCTTATTTATTTATTTGAAAGGCAGAGTTTAGAGGGAGAGGGATAAGGAGAGAGAGAGGGAGAGAGGAAGAGAAATGGCCACAACGACCAGAGCTGGGCCAGGCCAAAGCAAGGAACCAGGAGCTTCTTCTGAGTGTCCCACGTGGGTGAAAGATCTCAAGTACTTGGGCCATCTTCCACTGCTTTTCCCAGGCACGGTAGCAGGGAGGTGGATCGGAAATGGAGCAGCTGAGACTGGAGTGGGCACCCATATGAGATGCTGGCGTTGCAGGCAGCAGCTTTACCTGCTATGCCAGCCACGGTGTGGGCAACAATAGAATCTGTGGAACTAAAGAGCTTTCTGAAAATGAGAGTTGCACGTTCACTCCCAGGAAACTTTTGTAAGTAGGTTCCTGAATATTACCTGACTTTAAGGACTGCCTGGAAAGATAGGGTAGAGAGCATGCACTTCCCACCGGGAAACAAATTAGGAATTTTTTCTCTAGTCGTGTATAAATTTATTTTCTAAATAAATGATTTGAAATTATAACAGTGTCATTTTTATACAGTGAAAAAGAACAACGAGGGCTGGCGCCGTGGTGTAGTAAGTTAAATTTCCATTTGTGGCTCCGGCATCCTATATGGGCAGCAGTTTGAGTCCTGGTTGCTCCACTCTGATCCAGGAAAGCAGTGGATGATGGCTCAGGTGCTTGGGCCCCTGTTTGGGAGAGCTGGCTCCAGTCACTGCGGCCATCTGGGTAATGAACCAGTGGATGAAAGACTTCTCTGTGTCTCTTCTTTCTGTCTGTAATTCTCTCTCTGTCAACTAAATAAATAAAATCTTAAAAAAAGTACAGGAAGGAGGTTATGTAAATATTTGATTGGGAAACACGTTTAGCTGGAGTTTTAGTTGTGAGGAAATTTTTAAAAATCTTTCAGAATAATTCTGTCTGGATTTTTACAGTGATTTTTTTTTTCATTTCTGTCTGTCACTTGTAGATATATTGTATGTTAGTCGATTTTAAGATATTACTACATTCTGCTTATAAAGTATATGAGTCATATCTCATGGCCTTTGATCTCTTTTAATCTGCTTTTCAGTCAAACATAAGTTTGTTTCAAATGTTCATTTTAATGTCTTGTAAAATTCTTTTATAGTTTCTTAAAAATTTGCCTTTTTTTGGACTACATATATTTTTCAGCTATAATGTTTAAAGCAATAGTAGCAACATACTTGTTGGTATTTCTTTAAAATCCAATTTATAGATTAAATGAAGAATTCATGTATCCTTACAGCATCAAATCCTTCCTTTCCTTACATATGAATTTTATCTTTCATTTCATGTCATCATTTGTTGCCTTGCAGAATTTTAATGTTCATACATATCTTGCCCATCTCTTGAACCCAGTTTTTATACTTCATGGATCTAATTTGTTAGTGAATTTTCCAGAAATTTTGTATTACTGTCACTATAATTGTAATTGACAGATGACTCTTTTGGGAGATAGTGTGTGTCTGATCCTGTTATCTCTGTTACGCTGTCTTTGTTGGAACAGTTTGGTTTGAATGCTTTTGATGATTGTTTTTAAAAGACTCATAACATTTTATAACTAAGATCTCTGGTACTGTCCTACTGTCCCATACCTATGAGGAAACTAAATCTCGGGAAGTTTAAATGACTTGTCTAGTGTTAAACAGCTAAATAATTTTAAATAGAGTTTTTAAAGGGCAAGTAACAATTTAACATTTTTTAGATTTATTATTTCCAACCTGGTTGTTCTCAAATGGAACCTTCTATGTTAAGACACTTTGCTTCTTTTTTTTAATATTTATTTTATTTATTTGAAAGAGTCACAGATAGATAGAGACACAGAGAGAGGTCTTCTGTCCACTGGCTCACTCCCCAGATGGCTGCAGTGGCCGGAGCTGCGCTGATCTGAAGCCATGATCCAGGAGCTTCCTCCAGGTCTCCCAAGAGACTTGGGCCATCCTCCACTGCTTTCCCAGGTCATAGCGGAGAGCTGGATTGGAAGAGGAGCAGCCGGGACTAGAACTGGTGCCCTTATGGGATGTGGCGCTTCAGGCCAGGGTATTAACCTGCTGCGCTACAGCGCTGGCCCCAGGCACTTTGCTTCTAAGAAAGGCCATCAGTTATTCTCCTTCCTAGTGCACACACACACACACACTTAAACACTCCCCCCTCCCGCATATCTCTGTACTCCTTGTAGACTTTTGATGCATTTGATACACATGTCATTGATTGTGAAGTACTCAGGGGCTGATTCTAACCATGTGAATGTTTGGGAGGAAGGTCCTTGCTTAAGTGTACGTGTTGTGAGTCACCTGAAAAGTGTTCTTGTTTTTCAGATTTGTTGAATCCTAAGCGGATAGTTTGTATTCTGTAATTTATTAAAAAAATGAAAAATTCATTTTTTCACTTTTGAAATATTTTATATGAATCAGTGAGACAAAATGAGGATTTTTAACTCTCATCAGTGTTCCGCCTATAAAAAAATTAAGCCAAAACAAAACAAATTAGGAGCATAGTTTTTCTTCGAGATCTAATGGCCCTTTATCTTTGTTAGATTTCTTACATTTTTCACTTCCATGCATTTAGACAGCATTCCATTAACTTCAAAGAAATTTGAGAAGACCTGGGTATGCAGCATGTGAAGGGTCAAGTTTTTTTTTTTTAAGTTTAAAACATTTATGTTTTTTTAATAGAAAACTTTTATTTAATAAATATAAATTTCGAAAGTACAACTTTTGGATTATAGTGGTTCTTCCCCCCATAACTACCCTTCCACCCGCAAACTGTCCCATCATCGCCTACTCCCTCTCCCATCCCATTCTTCATTAAGATTCATTTTTAAATATCTTTATATACAGAGCGACTCTATACTAAGTAAAGATTTCAACAATTTGCAGTGAATTATCAAGTTTTAAGCTTTTTAAGCTTTTTCTTTTACTGAATATGGAGATATTTGTATGTGTAATTCTGCATTTATTTACTCTATTTTATGTTTATTTTCACACATAATATTTTTTCTACATAGGAGTTTGTAAGCAAACCAAAGAGGCAAGTAAAGGTATAGAATATATTTATATTCAGGATTCTAACATAGTGGTTTTGTAGGAAGTGAGTGCTTTATTCTTTCCTACTATAGTCGCATATAATAAGATAGTCATAATGTCATCTAATAGGTTTGGCAGTGATTTTGTATCTTTACTTTAAAGTGACTATTTTTAGTGAAGTTCTTGTCAGCCTAGATTGAAGGCTAGTAACTATGAAGGAATGTTTGTTTTCAAATTCACATTCAAATTTTTTTCAAAAATAGCAAGTAATCACCTGTGGGTGTATCTGAAGGTCATGATGAATACCGGTCATGATTGTAAAAGGCATGCACATTGTATACTATTTGCATTTGTGTGTGAATTAACATCTACCTTGTAGTAATTCATTATCATGGAATGCCTTTTCAGACAACATATGCTTGTAGTTGTAACTTCTTTTTTTAAAGATTTATTTGTGGGCAGCACCGTGGCTCACTTGGCTAATCCTTCACCTGCGGTGCTGGTGCCGGCACACCGGGTTCTAGTCCCAGTTAGGGCGCTGGATTCTGCCCCTGTTGCCCCTCTTCCAGGCCAGCTCTCTGCTGTGGCCCGGGAGTGCAGTGGAGGATGGCCCAAGCGCTTGGGCCCTGCACCCGCATGGGAGACCAGGGAGAAGCACCTGGCTCCTGGCTTCGGATCAGCGCAGGCCATAGTGGCCATTTGGGGGGTGAACCAATGGAAGGAAGACCTTTCTCTCTGTCTCTCTCTCACTGTCTTAACTCTGCCTGTCAAAAAAAATTAAAATTAAAAAAATTAAAGATTTATTTCTTTGAAAGAGTCTCAGGAAGTGACGGAAAGGCAGAGAGCGAGTGAGAGCTAGAGAGAGATTGACCTTCCATGTGCTGGTTCACTCCCCAGATGGCTGCAACTACTGTGCTGATCGGAAGCCAGGAGCCAGGAGCTTCTTCCAGGTCACCCATGTGGGTGCAGGAGCCCAGACCATCTTCTGCTTTGGGCCATCTTCTGCTGCTTTTCCTGGCCATTATTGGGAAGCTGGATTGGAAATGGAGCAGCTGGCATTGAACCGGCATTCATATGGGGTGCTGGCGCTGCATGTAGCACCTTACCTGCTGAACCACAATGCACAGTTAAAATTTCTGAATGCAGAAAGGGATATAATTTGGCATCTGAGAGGGGGCTACTCTTTTGTGTTTGTGAAAAAAGATCTGTCAAAGGAAGCAGCACAACCGTGGAAACCAGCAGTTAAAAGGGGTTTTTATGACCACTGGGAACATAGCTTCCACCATTTTTGCATGTAAATAAATCCTCTAGAATTTTAATATGGAAACAGTTGTGTCTTTGTATACTTAAAATGACATGCGTTTGTGTTTTTTGCCGCTTCTATTTTTTTAAAGTAGAGATTCTTTTTTTAAAAGATTTATTTATTTATTTGAAAAACACAGGTACAGAGAGAGAGAGAGAGAGCGCTTCCATTCACAGTGGTCAGAGCTGGGCAGATCCGAAGGAGGAGCCAGGAGCCAGGAGCTTCATTTGTTCTCCCAAGGGGGTGCAGGGGGCCAAGTTCTCAGGCCATCCTCTGCTGCTTTCTCAGGCACACCAGCAGGGAACTGGATTGGAAATGGAGCAGCCAGGACTTGAAGCTGCACCCATATGGGATGTTGGCGTCACAGGCAGTGGCTTTACCTGCTTTGCCACAACACCGGCCCCCTAGTTTAACATTCTTAAGTATTGGTTTGACAAAGGTATAAAACAAAGTTTTACAAAACTGAGCTCGCAGCAGTATTGATACACATAGGCATTTCTTTCTTTTTTTATTTTTTTCTAAGTTTTTAGCTGAAATATGTAAGGGAGAACAGGTAGTATTTGTCTTGCTGTGTCTGGTTTATTGATTATCTTTTAAAGCGTACTTTAGAATAATTTTACATAGAAATTGGAAAGAAACTGCAGAAAGTTCCAGTATACCTTCACCCGGTTTTTCCTAATGTTAACTCCTTCAGAAACCATGGTGCATTTGACAGAATTAGCGAAGTAACGTTGTATGACGTGAAGCTCGAATTGCAGACTTTATTCAGAAGTCACCAGTTTTTCCACAATGTTCTCGCTCTATTTTAGGACCAATCCAGCATTCCATGTTGTATGTCCCTTTATCTCTCAGCTTGGCAGTTTTGTCTTCATGGATTTTCATAGTCTTGTTCTGTGTTCAGATTTGGTTCATGTGGCGATGCAGTGGAATTTGAAGTTGTCTTCTCACCTCCATGTGTATGACACGAGTCTGTCTTGGCCCTCGTGGTGCTGAGCTGAATTACTTGCTTAGGGTCGTGTGTGCCATCTTTCTCCATTGCAGTTACTGTTTTCTTTCTTTTTTTTTTCCTTCTTCTTCTTCTTCTTCTTCTTCTTTTTTTTTTTTTTTAATTTGACAGATAGAGTTAGGCAGTGAGAGAGAGAAAAGTCTTCCTTCCATTGGTTCACCCCCCAAATGGCCACCATGGCTGAAGCTATGCTGATCTGAAGCCAGGAGCCAGGTGCCTCCTCCTGGTCTCCCATACGCGTGCAGGAGCCCAAGCACTTGGGCCATCCTCCACTGCCCTCCCGGGCCACAGCAGAGAGCTGGACTGGAAGAGGAGCAACCAGGACTAGAACTTAGCACCTGTATGGGATACCGGCGCCGCAGGTGGAGGATTAACCAAGTGAGCCACAGCACTGGCCCCAGTTACTGTTTTCTTAATACTTCATTGGAATTGAATCCCTCGTTCCAGGCCACATTCAAGGGGAGAAGAGTTAAGATTCATCACCTTGGCCGGCGCCGCGGCTCACTAGGCTAATCCTCCGCCTAGCGGCGCCGGCACACCGGGTTCTAGTCCCGGTTGGGGCCCCGGATTCTGTCCCGGTTGCCCCTCTTCCAGGCCAGCTCTCTGCTGTGGCCAGGGAGTGCAGTGGAGGATGGCCCAGGTGCTTGGGCCCTGTACCCCATGGGAGACCAGGAAAAGCACCTGGCTCCTGGCTCCTGCCATCAGATCAGCGCGGTGCGCCGGCCGCGGCAGCCATTGGAGGGTGAACCAATGGCAAAAGGAAGACCTTTCTCTCTGTCTCTCTCTCTCACTGTCCACTCTGCCTGTCAAAAAAAACAAACAAACAAAAAAAAAAAAAACAAAAAAAATAAAAAAAAAGAAGATTCATCACCTTGAAAGAGGAGTATCCGAATACATCATTAAAAATTACATGTCAGAAGGTATCCTTGATAATTCTTCCTTCTACCTGATCATTTTTGTTTAATCATTTCTCTGTGTCAGTATTGACTCAGAGATGTTTATTATTTTGAGTTATAATCCAGTGCTCTCTTTATTTATTTATTTATTTATTTTTTGCTCACATTATTTTAGCTTTGACTGTTGTGATCTCTTTCAGTTGACTCTTGGGTCCTTTCGTGTGCCACCCCCACTCCCAGCCCCACTTTTCTTGAGCCTTTCTTTGCTTTTTGACACGATATAGTGCTTCAAGCTCATTTTCCTTTTCTTGTCCTGGCGCTGAACACAGCATTTCTCCAAAGAGCCTGGGTTGTTTTTATTGTTGAATTATATTTCGAAACCAAGGGATGGACTCTGGATATACTCAGTAGTGCTTGGGATGTCACTACTTTTATACTTACTTAATTAGCAGCCCCAGGAAATACACCCACACCCACACATACACACATGCACAGATTAACCCACGTATGTACACATTCACAGTTACTTTTGCATCTAGCTGTTCACTTACATTATTTAGTAACAAATCATTAGTATTAGATATTTCATTAATAACTGATAGTCATACAGATATTTGCAATGCAGATCCAGCACCACTGCATTCACTGTAGCCTCCCCCTGTGCCTCTACTTCCGTGTGATTTCTTTCTCTGCTGGTGAGAAGCATGGTTCCAGTTATCATAATTGACTTATCTGTCCCACCTGAGTATCCATGTTAATCAGTTTCACAACTGTTAACTCCTATGCTAGTAAGAAACAAGTTTACCAACTAGAATGCTATGTTTTTATGCAGATTTTTTGTCATTACTCTTAACATTATCCAGTTAAAATATCACTTTCCAGAGTTACTTAGGTCAGCTCTGTTCTTCCTCTCATGTTTGTGGATATTATTTTACATGGCTTCTTTAAATTTTTATTTAGTAAATATAAATTTCCGAAGTACAGTTAATGGATTACAATGGCTTTCCCCCCCATAATTTCCCTCCCACTCACACCCTCCCATCTCCCGCTCCCTCTCCCATTCCATTCACATCAAGATTCATTTTCAATTCTCTTTATATATACAGAAGATCGATTTAGTATATATTAAGTAAAGATTTCATCAGTTTGCACCCACATAGAAACACAAAGTGTAAAATACTGTTTCAGTACTAGTTATAGCATTACTTCACATTGGACAACACACTAAGGACAGATCCCACATGAGGAGTAAGTACACAGTGACTCCTGTTGTTGACTTAACAATTTGACACTCTTGTTTATGGCATCAGTAATCTCCCTAGGCTCTAGTCATGAGTTGCCAAGGCTATGGAAGCCTTTTGAGTTCGCCGACTTCAATCTTATTCAGACAGGGTCATAGTCAAAGTGGAAGTTTTCTCCTCCCTTCAGAGAAAGGTACCTCCTTTGATGGCCCCATTCTTTCCACTGGGATCTTACTCGCAGAGATCTTCCATTTAGGTCTTCCATGGCTTTTAATTATGGATTATTAGAAGTGTGGTGCCATTTAAAATAATGATAAACTATTTCTGAAATATCAGTAAAATATAAAAAGTTTTTTGTAGCTTTTATTTCAAATAATGTTTTAACAGAGATGTTACAATATTTTCAAGGAATGTGTCCATTCACATTGGTTATTGAAGTAATTATATTTATTTCATTAAATTTTTAAATTTATTTACTTTTAATGAAAGAGACAGAGAGAAAGAGAGACCGAGATCTTTCATTTGGCTGACAGACACCCAAGTACTTCAGGTATTAACCTACTACCTCCCAAGGTGTGTATTAGCAGAAGCTAGATTGGAAGTATAGTCAGGGCTTCAAACCCAGACACTCTGGTTTGGGATACAGGCATTACAAGCAGTTTTATCCTCTATGCCAAATATGCTTCTACAGGTAGTTAGCCTTAACAGAATTATTTCATAGATACCAGCTTTAATAATTTTAAAAGTGCAGCTGTAGCTAAGAGTCTGAAAGATGCTTCCAATTCTAACAGTTGGTTTTCCAAAAATAGGTAGGCATAAGCTCAATTCCCAATAGCTAAGATATGGAATCAACCCAGATACCCATTAGCTGATGACTGCATAGAGAAAATGTGGTATTATACACTATGGAATACTACTCAGCTGTAGAAGATTGCAATCCCATCTTTGGCGACATAATGGATGCATTTGGAGACCATAATGCTTAGTGAAACAAGCCAGTTCCCCAGAAGACAAATATCATGTGTTTTCTCTGATTTGTAGTAACTAATATACAGAGTAAGAAAAACAATGTATATTAGTGGAATTGACATCTTGACATTTTATTATTGTTTGTAGCCCTTATCTGTACTCCTGAGGAACAGTGGTCTTTCTGCTTACTAATTGAATTCTTAATTTAGTGGAGGATCAGTCTTGTAGTTGTAAAGTCAACTGAAAGTATGTCATTGCAGAAGTTAAAAGAAAAATAAGAAAGGAAAGAGGAGGGAGGGTGATTCAGAGTTGTTGCTGGGATGTCAGGGCTGTGGGTCAGCTTTCACAGGACAAAGGGTGGAACAAGAGGAGTGGGGGCTACTCTGTCTGCCTCTTTCTCCTTCTGTCAGACAAAAATGTTCCCCAAAGCACCTCTTCACTTGCTGTGCCTCAGGCACACTGGCTTACTGTCTCTTCCTTGCGTGTGCCTGTTGCTGCCTAACCCTTTCATTGTCTTTACACTGCCTGGAGTGCGCTTCCCCGGATCCCTGGGGATTTGGGGCTGGGTCTTTGTGATTAATGCCTCAGCACACATGTCACTTCCTCAGAATCTGCCCCCTTGGTTACCCATTCCAAATTGACCCTCTGTAGTCGTGTCCTAACTTTTAGCCCACGTGTTTTCTTCTTTCTGTCCTTCCTCCTTACTGATACGTATTATTGTAATATTGCTCATTTTCTATTCTTTGTGCTGAGCTCTTCCTTCTTCCCTTTAGTCTCTCTCTATCCAGATTTTCCCTCAAGCTACCAGGCACATAGTAGGTGCTCAGTAAATGCTTACTGAAGGGAAACGTATTGAGAGATAGTGAGTTTGAAGTTATACTTCCTTATCAGCTTGATAGAGACACACATAATTAGGTTATCAGCCTAACTGAGAGTAAGGGTGAGGGTGCCTGGTGGCAGCTGCTGCAACAGCAGGTTTGCTCCCTCTGTAAGTAGGGTGAATCAAGATAATGCTTTGTGCAGGGACAAAATTAACTTCTGGGAAAATTTTTCAGTTTCTGTGTTGGTTCTCTCTCTCTCTCTCTCTCTCTTTTTTTTTTTTTTTTTGACAGGCAGAGTGGACAGTGAGAGAGAGACAGAGAGAAAGGTCTTCCTTTGCCGTTGGTTCACCCTCCAGTGGCCACCGCGGCCGGCGCCGGCGCATGGCACTGATCCAAAGGCAGGAGCCAGGTGTTTCTCCTGGTCTCCCATGCAGGTGCAGGGCCCAAGCACTTGGGCCATCCTCCACTGCACTCCCTGGCCATAGCAGAGAGCTGGCCTGGAAGAGGGGCAACTGGGACAGAATCCAGTGCCCGACCGGGACTAGAACCCGGTGTGCTGGCGCCGCAAGGCAGAGGATTAGCCTAGTGAGCTGCGGCGCCGGCCTGTGTTGGTTCTCAACAGTGATGGAGTGGACAGAATAGGCCCTGAGAGTGAAATTGTTTTGATTTAGAAAACTTGTAAGTGCACTTCACCAGTGCTTGCTCAACTCACACTATCAATAGAATACCAAATCGCAGGCTGAGTTCCAGCCTTTATCACTACAGGTTAATTTAGTGTCAGCAGCAAAAATATCTAGAAGAGAGGCCTTTTTTTTTTTTTCCAGCACAAAGAATTAGTAAATGTTTTAGACAATGGATCTGTTAGTCACCATAATTTAATCATTACATGTTGTATATTGCACCCTATAAAATGTACAATTATTTTGTATCAATTAAAAAACTTCATCTAAGTAACTTCCAGGTATGCCCACCAATAAAAACTGCATTGTATAGTGTCTATTTAAGTGAGTGAGCTCTAATCTAGGTAACTATTAGGAGACATTTAGCAGTAATCATCATTTTGTTATTAGACTCTTTGAATCTAAAGTCATTTTGAAACAGCAGTTAGCTAGTAATTAAAGAAAATTGTCCTTTAAGCCTAGTTTCAATTTAAATATTAAAATCATGCATATAAATGATTGCTCATGTTTCTGACTTCAGCTGAGAAATGGTGAGAACTTGTGTTTAGCTTATGTAAGTGATGTGATTTAAACAAAGTCAAAAGACAAAAGATAAGCCAGGCTAAAATTTACAGTTTGTATCATGTAATGCAATTATTTCTAAAATTGGAGAGATGAATAATGCTATGGGAGAATATGCAAAAGATGTTATTAGATAGTTTACAGAACAATACATTTGAATGACCCTGAGATGGATGGAAAAGAGGTTCAGTTTGGGTCCTAACAAAAAGGTCATTGACCATGACCAAGTGGGGTTTATCCCAGGGATGTAGGAATTGTTTGTTGTATACAAATGAAAAAACATAAATCATCACATCAACACAATGAGTAAATCAAACAGGACTGGCACAGTGTTGAAAATTATGAAATCTGGATACTGTATACGTAGGTGGTTCATTATATTATTTTTCTTTTGGATATGTTTGAAATGTTAAGTAATACAAAATTCTGAAAACTAAATGAGGAACCTCTAACATACATGGTTTCAAAAAACAGAGATTTGTAGCTGACTGTACTTCTCACCTAAGAGACTGTGGTTACCAGTTCTCCCAGGCTACTTTTCTTAAGTGTGTGCCACCACCTGTAACCTAGAGGGGAAAATCTGCTCTTGAAATTACGTAGTTTGTGTGAATACCAGTCTTCTCTGAAACTGGATGCATG